CTATAATCTTTTTATTTAATGGATAAATGGATCTTGGGAAGAACAAGGTTTATTGGAACTTACACATCCCAACCACAGTCTATTATGAAGTAAGTCATGGTAGGAATTTAAAGGCAGAAACCTGGAATAGGATTATGTCCCTTGACTTTCTTGGGCAGCTTTCACTCACAAACAAGGACCATGGGCCCAGCCATAATGTGGGATTCCCCTTTTTATGCTATGAATATGTTTTATTGCCATTGGTTACTAAACAAGTTGTTTTGACCAATGACTTAGTAGAGTAAAGCCAGGCGGGAAATCTGAACAGAGAGAAAGTAGGTAGAGTCAAAGAGACAGCATATAGCTGCTGAAGGAGATAGCTGCCAGCTGCCCGCCAGAACCTTACTGGTAGACACCAGACTCATGGTGATTCACAGATTAATAGAAATGGGCTAATTTAAGATGTAAGAGTTAGCTAAAAATATGTATAAGCTATTGGCCAGACAGTGTTGTAATTAACATAGTCGCTGTGTGATTAGTTTGGAATCAAATGAACCGTTTCTACCCACACAGACAGGGCACTGCCTATTGTCAGCTGGAACCTCCCACATCAGTCCTTAAGACAATACACCACAGACTTACCTAAAGACAGGACTGATGGGGGCATTTTCTCAATTAAGATTTCCTCTTCTCAGTATATCTAGATTTTCATCAAATTGACAAAAGCTAGGACAACTGTTCCCTTTGTTGACCTGACATACATACAAACACATCAATATTAAACCATAGAATCCTTTGTTTTTTGTGTATTACTGAGACATAGTGTTAACACTAATATAACAACATAAAACATTTCAAAATTTAAAAGTCCCATGGTCTTTAAATCTAATTTAAAAGTTCAGTAGCTTTAAAACATCCAAAAGTCTTGTTAAATTTTCAGTGTCTTAAATTCCAAGGTCTCTCTAAAACTCTAAAATCTCTTTAAAAGTCTGAATCTCTGAACTGTGATCGTACAAGACCAAAAGGAAGTTCCATACTTTCTTATTTCAAGAAGGAAAACCTAGAGCACTATTACATTCAAATCAAATTAAAACCAAATTCCAACAGTGTAGAGTTCAGGGGCAGACTTCCAGGACACTTGGTCCTCTGCCTCTAAGAGACTTGCCACAACTCATATTATGAATTATGTAGACTTAACCTGGCTCCACTTCACACCCCACCTTGATAGTTGTCCCATGGTATTGCAATGTCCAAGTCCTGGAGTCTTCTTTGTAACTGGGTTGTGCTTTGACCAATAATGTCTCCTGTGCTCTCTTCAGAGACCCCAACCCCTGTGACAGAGGACCAATCCTCAACTTCCCCCATTAACCCCTTCAATACTTAGGCTTTTACTGTATTTGAGGCTGTGCTTTGATTGATGGCCTTTTCTGACATCTCACAGTGAGAAGCATCATCTGTTCTCTGTGACCCTTTCATGTCTTCAAAAGCCAGTACTACTTTGGGAACGCTTATACATTACCAAATTTGTATGCTAACACACGTCACAATCTTTGTTCCTTCGGAACCATAGTTTCTGTGCTCTAATCCTGGGAAATTACTTTCCAGAATATTTTCCTCAATAATGTTGATTTCTTCTTAATTGCAGTCAATTCTTCAGTCCCAGTTGACTAGAGTCACAAATTCCCAATTCAAATACCGATGATCCCGATAGTGTCTTAAAAGATTTAAAAGGACTCCAAGACTTCCCTGTGAAAATGCACAGGTCAGGCCTCCATCATAGACATTGCTCTTAATATTTTTTTCTGAGCTCCCACAGAATAGACCTGAGCCCTGAGCATTCAGTGGATTTTCTAGCCTACATTATTCTTTGTGGAAAACTTGGTCAGGTGTGTTACAACAGCATCCCACTTCTGGTAACATCTTCTGTCTTTAATAAGGCTTGTATTGCTGTGATAGAACACCATGACTAAAAACACGTTGGAAAGGAAAGGGATTGTTTGAGCAAATGGGTTCCAATAGTATTCCATCACTAAGGAAACTCAGGGTAAGAACTCAGTGTGAGAATCTGTAGGTAGGAAATAAAACAGAAACCATGGAGGAATGTTGCTTACTAGAATGTTCTACATGGCTTTCTGAGCTTGTTTTCTTACACTATCCAGCACCACAAGCTAAGGTGGGCCATTCCACATCCATCACTCATCAATACAATACCTTAAATACTTGCCTGTAGGCTAGTCTTATGCCATGGTCCAATTTACCTTCATTACAATAATATAGAGAGTCTAGTGTATGTAAATGTCTAAATGAAATACCCCAACATCAACCTCCAGGAACCTCAATACTTACAATGGTGGGGCAATATAAAAAGAACACAACTCTCTCTATTATAGTTATGAGTGGTGGTTTGTTTATTTGTTGAGATTTTAGCAGTCTAACTAAAATAAGACTCCCAGGACAGGTCACTGCCAGTGAATTCAGCCTTCTTCTATGAATCTGGGATTGAACTCTAGTACTCGGGCAAGTTTTGTGTTGTATCCTTAGAGCTAGTAATGCATTTCTTTTCTTATGATTATGCAACGTGTGCTCCCCACCCACTGAAAAAGAGAAACATTAACTAAGAGAACTCATCCACTCATTATTATAATTACCCAACTGAACAGAAAAATCTAATGATAATTAGCAGAAAATAAGAGTTATCATAGGGATGAAGGAAGCATATATCTTCAGGAGCCAAGTGAATATTTTACATGAATACAGTAGACTGAATGTAAGAGCAGGTATTGACTGGTCTGGGGCTACAACAGAACCATGAAAGTCAACTGTTAAAAAAAAACTAAAGAAAAAACAAGAACAAAATGTAACAGTCATCATGGAATTTAGACTAATTTGGGACCAGGGTATGTCACATGTATGTGAAGGGAAAAAGGTAAGGTTGCCTACTAAGATTTGACCAATGGCTTAGGTGTATACCTAGCTAACTCTTACATCTTAAATTAACTAATTTCTATTAATCTGTATATCACCACGAGGCTGTGGCCTACTGGTAAGGTTGGTTATAGCATCTTTCTTCTTCAGCAGCTACACGGCCTCGCCCTGACTCTGCCTACCCTCCCTATCTATCTCTGTTCAGATTTCACACCTGACTTTAATCTGCCCTGCCATAGGCAGCTTCTTTTTATTAACCAATGGTAATAAAACATATTCACAGCACACAGAGGAGAATCCCACATCATATTAATGCAAAACAGCTTTGACATTGCTGAGGCCAAGATGAATGATTGAGATTCATTCAATGATTGAGGTTCAGAAACTATTTGATATTTCTTCACATTTAATAAAATAAGGGAAACTAGATTATGACTGGAATAATGATATATTAATTTGAATATAATTCTCCCTAAAGAAGAAATGTATCCACTTGAGGTAAATGAAAGACCAAAGTAAAAGCTACACACCCCTGGGTCAACAAGGTCACTACATACTTGTGAAACATTTAATGCACTCACTTTCTCATTTGCTTCAGGAAAAGCTACCTTTCTAGAAGCAGGGAATTTTGAGAAGGATAGGAAAGGAATCAGTCCTAAGGCATTTTGGAGTTTTGCCTTGAAAATTTGCTGTTTCAATTTGCCAAGAAAAATACTGTGGAGCTCACCGTTTCAAAAAGAAAAATTCAAACAAGAATTTTTTTGTTTAAACTTGTCCTACATTATAATTATATAATAATGGTAAGATTTTTAATGAAACACATGCATCTTAGAAAATTCCACTCATATGTTTTATAATTCTCACTGAACATGCTACATAATGGATCATAAAAATCTTTGTATGAACAAATTTCAAGGATTCACTTCCCATTTTTGTAGTAAACTCATACAAGCGGCAGACTTTGTCCGAATGAGTCTTAGTTACTTTCTATTATTGTGATAAAGCACCCTGATCAAGAAAACTCACCAAGGGAAACATTTAATTGGGATATAGTTCCAGAGGTTTAGAGTCCATACTAACAAAGCATAGGCATGCTGACAGGAGGTGGAAATTCATACCTTGAACTGCAAACAGGATACAAAAAGAGTGGACTGGCAAAGCAGGAGGCTTTTAATTCCTTAAAACCCATACTTCCTTGACACACACCCTATAATAGCACAGTACCTCCTAAACCTTCCTTAACAATTTTACCAACCAGGGATCAAGTATTAAAAGATAAGAACTTATAGGAGCCATTGTTAGTCAAATTTTCACAAAATGCATTATGGATAGAGTTGTGTTTCAAACCAAATTAGTCAGCAATAAAGACTGACCCCCTCAAATCAATATATTCTCTCAATTCCTAAGATAGCAATATGCAAAACTATGTCTTTTTAAATGCTTTCTAAAATATTGACTTAAAAATTAAATATTTCTAAAATTCAGAAATAGAAAACTAGTCCATCGATTGTTCTGAGGAAATAGCTGTGACAGGTACTGTTTCTATACTCCTCCAGCCCTATCACTTACATAGTGGTGTGTCCAAAGCTGAGGTCAGGAGACCAAACACACTGTAACTGACAACTTGATATATAATGTCAGAAAGTTGGTCATCTGAGGGAGTAGGCCCTGTATTGTGAGGGAAAGCGGCTTCTACCCAGGACTCCCTAATTCCATCTAGACTGAAACAAAACAAGAAGCTGTAGCTCTACCTAACACACTTCTCCTCTTTGATCCAGAACAAACCTTGCACCATGCAAGAGTAGTGATTAAAACTGAGGCGGTGTTGGTCTATTGCCCTGTTTTGTTTTGTTCTGCTTTGCTCGTTTTTACTACAGTCCCTGAACCAACAACAGAAGATTTCCTTACTTCTAAACTTTGGCCTGAAGAGAGACTATTGAGCTGTTTCTAACTCAGTGCAAATACAAGTGCAAAAAGGGAGAAAAGCAGATGTTTGCAGGGATTTTCTGGTTAGAAATTCTCAGTGTGTCCTTGGAATGCCACGGTGATTTGATGAATTGATTTTTAAACATTTTGTTGCTTGTTTCTATTGACAGGCCCTATAATGAAAACCAGCTTATTCTTAGCTCTGCCGTCAGGTGGTCCTGGATGACTCTCTCACTGAAGACCTCCATATGAAGCCCTACTTGAGAAATCAGCTTTGTTTTTAAGCACCAAATTTTCCCCTGGGAGAAAAGGTTTTCTCCTCTTTTGAGACCAGTACTTTCTATGTTTTCCTGAAGCTGTCAAGAAAGTTAGTGCTGGATTTGAAGCCCAAATATAGCAATTTGGGAATCAGAATGTCCTGTGGTTTGTTTTAACATTTGCACCTTACATTTATTTAATTTGTATTACATATTTTAGCTTTCAGGGAATAAATTTATGACAAATTGCATACAATTGCTAATATTGTTAAATATATCTTGTGAAATGGTATGGAGAATATACAATATTAATACATACTTTAAAGATGATATTGGTATTATCAAACATTGTCTGTCCTCTCTTATGCCATTAAGATATTTGTGTGTTATCAAGAATAGAAGTTCTTTCTATGTATCTGATTGTTCCCGTTCAAAGGTTTATATTCATAAAATTATAATTCATCTGAAATAATATTAAAGAAATAAACAATATATATTATATATAAATAATCAAGTATATAATAAAAACAATCAAATCCCTTTGCTTCTGGTATATTTTAACATTAAGGATTTAAAGAGTCCATTTGTTTAACTAGGTAAAGATGTGTTGCATTTGTTTAACTATATAAAGATGTGTTGCTGTTTTACCTTGCCTGCCTAAGGCACCTGATTGGTTTAATAAAAAGCTGAACTGAACTGTCAATAGCTACGCAGAGGAGGGATAGGCAGGGCTGGCAGGCAGAGAGAAAAGGGGTAACCAGCCAGGAATCAGCTATCTGGTAGCTAGCCAGACACAGAGGAGATGTGGAAGGAGAAAGAACAGAACATGGATGAGATAAATAAGCCTTGGGGCAGCACATAGATTAATAGAAATGGGTTAAGTTAAATAATAGCTATCTAGAAACAAGCCTAAGGTAAAGCTGAGCATTCATAATTCATAAGTACCATAGTTTGGGGACTGGTGGTCCAAGAAAGCCTGCTCCAAGGCTTTACTGGGTAGACTAACAACAATTCTAGAAGAAACCAGTAATTGAGAAAAGGTTTTAGTAGGAACTAAAATATGAAAAGGATGAGTAACTTTTATTTATTATGTGTGTTATGGGGATGCTAATATCTGTGGCCAGAGGTCACTTTCCAGCATTGGTTCTTCACATCTACCATATGGTTTCAGAGATCTGAACTCGTGCATCAGCCTTAGTGGCAAGCACAGTTACCCAATGATATACCTCCCTGGCCCAAGTTTTCCCTGTTGAAGGAAATAGTATTGCTTTGTTCTCAATATTTAAACAAATATTGGAGGTACTGGAATCAATATCAGAAACACCAACCTTGAACATTCATTATTTTTTATTTTTATGCTTTCAAAATCTGGGCTACAAAATTTGGATTCTTAGTGATCTCTTAAACTACAACTTTTTGGACTTTCTCTCTCTCTCTTTCTCTCTCTCTCTCTCTCTCTCTCTCTCTCTCTCTCCCTCTCTCTTTTGCCAAGACTATCCTAACTAGAATAATGTAGTGCCATATAATTTTATGTAACCATCTTGACCTTCTCAAATGGTCTCACCATCATTTTTCTTTACAATTGAGAGTGTTTAAAGGAATACCTTTAAGCTAGCACAGTATTCCATTTAGCAATGTTGGACAGATTTGAAAACCAAGGGCTCTGAAGCAAATTAAGCATTCTTGTATCACAAGAAGTTGTTTAAAGATGATAAGCAATAAACTCCATTAAGAAGTCAATTAATAATAATTAGACGCTAAACTGAGAAAACTACTTAGAGTTTCACTAGAATACTTAATAATTTAATGTAAGTCATTGGAAGGAGGAATTCAGCCTTGCTTCTTCATTATGACCCATTACTCAGCTATTCACTAAATACCTGTTTAAATTAAAAAAATCTCAGCTTATTTATTAGCAGTAACTCTGTTTTCATTAGCAAGAATATTTACTATTTGAGTGTAGTGCTTTGCAAAGTTCAGTGTGCATGAGAAATAGCTGGATGCTTGAAGTTTCTAGATGAACCACTATCTCTGCTGCCGTAGTTCTGCTGTGGACTGATGGACATCAGCAAGAGGAAGTGTGCAGGCGATGTTGACACTATCTTTTCGTGAAGGATTTTCAGAACAACCTTCCTGCTTTAACAAATGTCTGCTTTCTGTTCCAAAAAATAAGGAAAACATATCATCCAAGGTACTCGGTGTGCAAAGACATGGGAAATCCCAGTGTCATTGGATAGACAGAGCCCTTCAGGGCTGAACATTCTAGCTGCTAATTCTAAATTCCACAGCAATCACCTTATAATGATTCTCAGGGACCGAAGACTTCCTTTTGCCACAAGCTATTCTTTTCTTTAAGCCCCACTTGACTTATCAGAGTTCTGCAACCAATCCTCAGTGGGATATTTTCACTTAGCACTGCGTAATTTTACTCTAGTCATGTCTATAATTCAATGCTATTCCATAAAAATGCAAAGTTTATGCTGCAGTACAATTTTAATTTCTCAGACAGTAGTTATTGTGAAAGGAAAATAAAAGGAAAGGATGAAATAATTTTAACAAGCCTTACTTAACCCATATACCCCGAAGAATATTATTTTCAGCCTGTAAAAAATTAAGGTAGTATCTTACATAGTTGCAAGAAATCTTTGAAATTCAGCATCTATGTTATACTTAAGTAGACATCACAAGTAATCATCTGCATTTATCTACCTTCAGAAATTTCAGTAGTTTAAATAGCTATGAAAACAATTTATACATTCAACAGACCATACTTAGAGTGTTCTGTTTTAATCTAAGTTTAATTTAAATCTCAAAAAGTAGATTCTTTCTAATACTAGGCTGGTGTGTATTCCAAGTGCCCTATAGCAACAGATGAGTAAGTAATCACCATAAGAGGCAATGCACTTCTCTGGGTTTCTCCAGAACTGAATCTATTTCCTCAGGCAGGAGAGGTGCAAAGTCAAACGCAGGTGACTATTTCAGGGGAAGTTCCACTGAACGAGCAGAGTGGGGAGGAACTGAGCAACCTAAAGAGGGACAAAACCCAGAGCAACCAGCCAACCTGAAGAGCACAGACACTGAATCATCCAAAATGACTTTTGCTCAAGTAACAAAGCCAAGATGAGAATAGACAACTTATTATTTTTTAGTTCCTCAAGCTTTTGGTTTGAGAATGGAGTGATACCTTAACTATAATATGAAGGAAAGAGTGGACATGTAAACAGAATTCGGGACTGGCTGCCACTGTTCCAATAATAGAGGTCACAGAACTTTACAGACATTTTTATTGATGTGCTATTGCGAGGCACTTGGAGTGGACTGGAGCATTGAATTTCTGTCTCCACTAACACAGCTTCAGCCTTGTCATCCTCGCTCCCCAGATGGAGAAGGTGGGAACACACAATTGTTCCAAGGTTGCCTCCCAAAGGAAAGCTCTAATTTTGCCAGTGGAATAACCCCTGGATAATTCCTGCTCTGGGAAATCACATAGTAATTTGCTTTCTGAAGATCAGAAGATTATTCATAGATGAATAATCTGACAACCAAAGCAAATGACACACTTGACTTTAACCTGCAAATCACCTGTCGATTCACAGTGTGTGAAGGAGAGACCTTTAACTTGCTCCTAAAATCCACAGCCCACTGCTTACAATAGTAAAGAAACAGGGAATGGGTTGAACCATTCTGTCCAGTAGAAGCTGCACTTCTAGGGACCACTCATCTCTACTCTTGTGTGTGCTTTCCCTACTCCCTGGGTCCCTGGGCAGTGACACATTCAGTAAGCCTCTGAAGACAATCCTGACTGTCCTCCAATTATCTTAAACATCAGTGAGAAACTTTCCATGGGAAGTATTTTAAAATCAAAGTAATAAAACATAATTAAAAGTAAAAGTAAATCTGGCATCAATCATAAAAGAAAAAAAATACTCTCTGGGAATGTACAAATGGAGCTATGAGGAACAGAAGTGTTAAGGGCACCTAAACTCACAAATATTTATTTAGAATATTGTTGCCTCCAAGAAGCATACTATCTCTATGATTGATATTAATTTGAAAACTTGGGGTTAATTTTTTTGTAGAACTTTAATGGGCCTCTTAAAAATGAAAACTGAAAGGCATGGTTTGGAAATGATTCCTTAAGTACTTTTTGGACCACGGGTCATGAAACTATAGTCCACCTGTATTACATTTAGTCATTCATCCTTCTCTTCTTTGTTTTCTCCATTAAATGCCTAGTGAAGTATATGCAAGACACTGGGAAACTCCTGCAAGGTCTTCGAGTTTTTCATCATGGGAAAAAAAACAGGAGGGATTTAACGTTAGTCCCTGAGGAGTAAACTGGGTTTCTAAGAGATATAACGAAGTCTCATCTTTTTACTTTATGCTCTCCAGACTTTGGGGAATTTGCTTTATTAATTTTTAATTAACTTTTAAATTATTTGTAAAGGTTTAAATATAGGAACAATCCATGCAAGAACAACAGGTGAAGAAATTAAATCCTGTAATGGGGACAAATGTTGATAAGATGAGAAAATGCAGTCTGCCATTTAAACTTCATTTTTCTAGATTTCTCTTATAAGAAGAGAATACATAGACATAAGCATATGTGAGCACACTCATACTTTAGTATATGTACAAGGCATGTAACAACAAAATTCTAACTGTACTTTTAAGATGCAATTTTAGAGTTAGGTTGAAGTCGTGAAGAAATTAGTTATATAGTAGAACACAGTATTGGGCTGGTGATCCAGATCTATGGAAGAATGTGGGAGGCATTGAGCTCAATTCCAAACAATAAAATTTCAATCTCCCTCTCTCTCTCTCTCTCTCTCTCTCTCTCTCTCTCTCTCTATCTCTATCTCTCTGTATATATATATATATATACTATATATATAGTGACATATGTATATATAGAGATAGAATCTCTCTAGAGATTTTCTACTATCTATCATATATCTATATATATCATATATCTGTGACAAAATCTATCATCTATCTATCTATCTATCTATCTATCTTCTATCTCTCTCTATATATATATTTACACCTAAAGAGAGAAAGAAAGATTTAAAACGTATATGTTAGTTTAATTGGTGAAACAAGGCTCACCTCAGTACTGCTGACATCAATAATGTGGTATTTTTACTGCAAGCCTTA